ATTTCATTTCCTAACCTCATCCTGTCAAAAGTCCCGCGTAAAGTCCTGCACACGACGTGTGTCGGCACTGCATTTTCATCGCCGCGCAAGCGCAAAGCCACATATACGCTAAGCAACCGGTCCCTAATCGGAACACTGAACATAAGTCGACTTCTGGGGCGATTTTCATAGCACGACTTAGATCCATGATCGCGAATTGGAGCAAGGTTTGCTTATTTCGTAATTATAAATCTATGTAGAATTTTAAAAACGTATTAAAGACAATTTTTAATATATTATTGCACTACGAAAACCGTCCGAGAAATCTTTCATCGACTTGTATTCTTTGTCGAATATACTTATTAACTGCCATTGATTTTTATAATTCCCTCCACCGTCATAAACTACATAAACTTCCGGCTTTTACGAACAATATAGTATCTTCACTGATCACTTGTCGGCGCCACTCATCGTCATTAAGATTGCCGGCCGCAAGATGACACTGCTGCGCTATCGTGTTCAATCGTATTGACAGATGCCTCAGCAATATGGCGACCAGTGTTTACGACAACTGATCGCGGTCGATCAAATTCGCGCCGTGTTCCGGATAAGTAAAGACGTGGTTGTTTATCGTATCGATAGTGCTCATTTTTTTACAACGATAACGACAACGCGCGATTCGACCTTATTGTGTGCGCGTTCACGTGTGATAACGCAAGGAATAACGTGTGTGTTTCTTCAACAGCGATCGGGAAATAGAGTACAAGTGGTGGTAGACAATTCGGCAACATCAGGTGGTGGAACGTCGTTCGCTGGACGTCGCGCGCTTGTCGCTTGAGATTCCTCGAATACCATCGTCTTTACCGTGAGTACCAATCAGATTGTTAATTAACCTAGAATTTCAAGTTGACGCAAAAAACGTCATCTGCAATGCAAAACACGTGTATCCTGAAGAGCCGCGCTGAAATAAATTTGAGAGCGACTGGAAGAGGCCATCTTTGAGGCCATCCTTCGATATCGGTCAAGCCGGCAAAGAATAGCAAATTGTGTTACATAAAACCAGCTTGATGCTCGAATGTCATAAGACAGACTCGTCGCCTCGGATAATTCGTTATGTGTGAATAGGGAAAGGGCTATCTATATCGCACGCTCCCGCATAAGAAGTGAATCGTCTCATAGTCCGAGGACCGAACACTTCTGTCTTAATTCGCGAAATTTAATCCACATCGCGTTAAATTGGCGTAGCGAACCAATCGATATATGTTGCAATCGAATTCTCGTCTCACAATTTTTCAACAATGGTGAGGTGCGGTCTACAAATGCGAAGCGATTACTCTTCACGTTCCAACAATTTTATCACGTAACAAATTCTGAGTAAATTTCATTCGCAAATATTTGCGACTTGTTAGAGAGTACTGTTTATGGAGTGAAAGAAACAATTCTGTGCACAATGTTTTCTGAATTTGCATAAAGCGAATATTTTTGTTCATCATTCCTTTTTCGTGGAATTCAATAATTCTTTTATTAATATCAATGCACTTGCCAATAAGCGCAATGCGTGTAAATGAAAATTTCGTCTATTGCCACGAGATATTTGTTTTACATTTACATTTTTTATTCTCGTTTAAATTTATTTTCGTTATATGAATATATTTGGTTCACACAGTAGCTATTGTATATGTGTGTGTAGCAGAGTTTAAACTGCGTCGAATTAATGTACAACACGCTTATCGGAAATTTCTCGGAAATGTTGTCGGAAAGAGAAGTCGGCTTTCGCTCATCTTTGCCTATCCTGTTATCTTATCATCTTATTCAACAACAATATACGATATCATAATACTAGATCACACATAGTTTACGTATAATACGAGAAGTCATTATTGACCAATGCACGGGTATGGCATTAATATGGAATGCGTACTCCCATCCGGCATAGTTTAGCATTTGCGGAAGAATGGCTGCTCTTGATGTATGTATAATTAAATTTATCGATTGTTGAAGAAGACATCGCGGCGGCACTTGAGAACGCGCGTGTTTCATAGATCGCTTTCACGTTTGTTTGCTGTTCTTTTTGCTTTTATACGCTTTTTACTATCTAAAAACTGCATTCTTTCCAACCGTGGAGATTTTTATCGTAGTCTTTTTCTTTAAATTTTTTCCGAATTTGAAGAGTGTCTGTCTACAGCCAAGCTGGATTAATAGTTTTTATAACTCTTTTAAATTGAAAAGCACATTGGCAATCATACGCCACGTGAATTTTTTTTCAATTGAATACATTTAATAAAATCAAGTTAAAAAAAAAAAATATATATATATATATAAACACGCGAATCGGCAAAAATAAGTACCTTGGCTCTGCTTTTATTCATTGAGCGAATCTCCAAGTGAATTGACCCTCCAGATTGGACTTTTGCCCCAATTTGCTACATTGTCATCGTCGCGCCGATACTTGTACGTATGACTTTTAACACTTGCTCGCAGTCAGAATATCTAGTGTATTGTAAAAGTATCCGGATGCGTAATGCTTTATTGGTTAATAAATCTTTAGATGTATTATGCTTTATATCACGGCTATAATTGATTTACGTCTTTATTTGATATATACCAAATTGTTTGCAATGTAACAAAATTCCTCTAAACTATTTCGTTTTAAAGTGAATAGATAAAGTTATAATAATAGTTATTGACATGTCCTGTCGCAAATAATTGTGTAATTAGAACAAGTTATTTGGCGTTTATTTGGAGTAACAACTCACAAAGTATAGATCGTATAATATTGCTATAGAATCCTCGCGTTCTCTATCTGCGTTTTAATAGACGATCACGTAATCTTCACAAACGAGGCGACTTCTGTACCGCTCAATCTTCACAGAGCCGCTATATTCTAATAGGACACGAATTATTAAATGGACACGCATTATACGCGCGCGCGCACACGTGATTATGTAATAAGTGAGGTAACTTGATACACATGCGAAAGAAAAATCTTATCAAGTTGCAAGCGCAATGTTTTGGGAATTCTCTTATTCGCCGCAATTTATTTTTAAATTGTTAACGTTGTACTAAACAACAAAAACACTGTACAAAATAAAGAGATTATCTTAATAGCGAAAAATTGTTTAGGTTTTCTTCCGCGCGAAGGTTGTCAATCGCTGCACATATCCACACGACTACTGTTGTTGAGATTAATTATATGCTGCAACAGCTTGAAATGATCTATTGTGTCTTAACGGCCATGTCACACGCTCCAACCTTGAGCATAAGTCGAGAAGGGGATTGACCTTAAACCGGATCTGGAATCCTTTTTCTTTGAGAAAGGGTAATATAGAATTATAAAAGAGTAATAAGTTTTGCATGTCATGCTAAAAGTTTTACGCTTTAGGCTTAAAGAAATCGAGATTATTCGGCGAATATTTTATTTATGATATTCATAATTGAATCTCTTATATGCATAAATATTTTATTTTATTTTTTTTTATTTATCCAAATTTTAACATTCTTTTATTAAACACATCTGATATGGCATCTGACGGTACTTTAGTATTTTTTTCCATACATTTTCAAATCGAACTGTTAATCAAACAGTTTTTTTACACTTTTAACGCAGTGGACGCGGATAACGAGAGTTTACCGTCGCGCAGGAAGAGGTTACCAGTTCCATAATTGATTACAGACGTTTCGATGTTGTAATCTGTTCCTCGTTTATCGGTTATTTTGATGCCTGATTCATTGTAAGTTAAACCATTTGAAATCGAAGTTTCGATAATGTCTGTCAGTCCAGCTCGCTGTTTATATTCATTGTTTCCACTTTCGGAATCTTTGTAATTTTTTTCCGTTGTTGGTCTTTGTCCTGATTTTCAACCCTACGAGTCTCGTCGTCCCGCTTCTCTCTGTTTCGCGTCCTTGGTACTTTGCTCGAGATAAAATTCACTTCTCGGAAGCTTCATGCAATCCTTACCACGCAGTTTTTGCATCAAACTAGTTTTCGGTCCGTCGGTTAATCTTCTGTAGAGCTGGATATAATTTCTTTTCTTTTTTCCGCGATTATCGACAATCGAGACATTGGTTTCACCCGCGACGCTAATGTTCAATCCGGACTGCATGTTCGTTTTGGCAAATTTTTCCCTTAACGCATCTTTAATATTCGGGACGTACAAGCGAGAAGAGGTCGTGACCTTGCTGTTTCCTTCTGTCATCGTATCTTTGAGAATGCTTGTCGAGTCTTTAGTTCGTTCTCCTTCCGATGAAAATTCTTTCGAAGCTTTACGTTCATTCAATGAAACGCCTTGTAACCACTCGGCTTGATTATCGAATTGACATCTGTCGAAATGTCCGTTTGCCGATTGGAAACGAACGGCAAATTGGAATTTTCATAGCAAAAATTTGGGTAAATCGATTGTTATACTAAGTTATGTTGATAAAAATTTCATTGAGAATAAAGCATTTAATTTAGCTTATTTGTAGAAATTAATTCAAGCTGCACAGTTGGAGTATTTTTTACTCAATTTACACTAGCTCTACCAGCATTGCTGTACATTTCTATTGTTTCTGTTAGTGATAATATTTAAGGATTTGTTTACGATTGTTAATGATATGGTGATCATGAATATTGTTACGTGTCAGCCTAGAAGAAGCAACTTATGCGCGATTGCAAACATGATACCGCGCCTACACAAGATGTCGTTTATAGCTGTTCTCGTTTGTGTTTCCGGTCACGCGATTATCTGGCTATTTATTAATTGTGTTCGCGCGATCACGAGGTGAATTGCCAGATCAGAAAGTTGATCACGCATAAAATTTTCGAAATGAGAGTGCAGCGAGACGCATCTCGTACGTAGCGAGAAAGATTTCCTTTTTGCTCTTTTTTTTTGTTTTTCTTCCACCTTCGTTTCCTCATTATATTTCTTTTCATCTTTCGCACGATCGTGCTCTCATCCCACCGTTCTATCCATCGACTTGTACTCGATGCGTCTTTACATGCATTGCAAATGTAGAGAAGCAACTTGTATCACGGAGTGAGAAACTTGTACAACTCGGCCCTTTTTTTGTTGCGCTCAAGATTGTATCTGAAGACGAATTACGATTTCGCGTCGAAGGGTGATACACGAGCGATGAAAGAAATTTCCGCAGGCTTGAAAATCTTTCGGTGCTTTATACGAGTATATTACCTGGGAGTGATTCCTTCCTCGGAAAGAATTCTTATAACAGGTAACTTAGAGCTCTCATTTATAATAATGATAAAAAAGCATTCGCAGTTATTCATAATTTAGTCGTAATAGTTTTTAAAAGTTAGTGTGAACCATAAACGCGTTTCTTTCTAATGTAAGGTAAATGTTTCAGTGGTCAGATATATAAGAGTTAATCATTATTGAAGATATCGCTTTTTCTATCAAAATAATATATATTTTTTTGTTATCTTTTTGTTTACATAAAAACGTTTTCTTGACAGAAATAAAACCAAAATTATGATTGTGTCCGTACATAATGTAGATTACGCCTAACAGATATTTTTTGCATTTAGAAATTTGTTTCTAAAACCAAGAAAAAACGCTTCTTTTCAACATTATAAAAAATTACTCGCTCTTAGGAAAATTGTCAAGGATCAATCTAAATTGTTTCACATGATATACCTCAGTTCATTGTATTAATTATATAATTATAAATATCACACAACAATTTGTAATTATTTTTATGTGTAAACTTGTATTTTTTCAAATGTTGTTTCTAAGTGTTATAATTATAAATATTAGAAATTCCGACTACTGGAACACTTGTAAATTAATCAACAAGTAAAACTATATATCTTATTCATCTCAGTCATATCTTCTGGCCAACAAAGTCTATTTGTTTAAATCTTCTCTCTCTCTCTCTCTCGCGCGCGCGCTCGTTCGCTCGCTCGCTCGTTCGCCGGAGCGCATATTCCATTAGCTGTCGTAACTAGTGTGAGGAACGACTAGCCCACTTGACCTTATCTGCTGGGTTCAACGTTTTCCATATTATCAGGAACATCCTTTTCAAAACGTCGCGTCTGCAAATTGACATAAAGTGCATGAGCGACAATAACGAACCCTTTTATTCTGCTTTCTTTCCTTCTTGTTCTGTTCCACGTCTTTTTCCACTTCTTCTCGTCTCGTCGCGGTTTCATTCGCCGTGGGTAGTGGATGGATGATTCAACTGTGAGTACTGTTACATTTTGTGAAGAGAACGAGACTTTGTTTTCTAGTCACCATAGTTTATGATGCGTAGACATACAAGGGGTTGCTCGCGATTATCAGATCAGAATCTGTAAAGTTTTATGACAAATTTAGAAAACATCAAACGGAATAAATGTACTTTTGATAAAACTTGTTTTGATATTCTTTCAATTACCTTGCGTGACAAATGTATTTCTTCTAATTAGTGGTTCTTCCAGTTTTGTTCCAAGTTTGCTGATATATGATATATGACGGCGACTTTGTAATAATATCAGTATTAAATCTTTACGTTTATATGTCTATATCTTTACGTATTTCAGTGGGATTTAAAATAGACGAAGAAAAATGGCGATAAGTTAAATTATGTAATTTGGTTGCGAGTGTATAAAAACGCAGTCAAGCTGATTGATAAGTTCCTCGAAGAGCTAAGGTGATTGACTTTATGTTAGTGTTAATAATTTTCCAATATATTATATATATGAGAACGTAAAGTAAAATTGCCAGCGTTTTCAAACAGTTTTGTGTCAAAGAAGAGCGATCTGAATTATTTAAGCATAGAGTTGATGACAGGATGTTTTTTAAAGACAAAGAAAAAAAAATGTGCTTTTATCTAAAAAAGAAAAGCAAATAATTGTGATACTTGTTAAAAATTGTGGATTAAACATTTGTAGCCTTATTCGGTATAAGATTTTAAGAGAAAACTTTGCGCAGTGAATAATGAGACAATGAAAGTTTATTGTTTGAGTCAAGCTACAAAATATAGATGGAATAATGAACTGTTAACCCAGTCACATGCTCCCGTATATTTACATTGTTAATCGCGCCGACTGTCGTATTTAAGCAATTGATCACGTCGGCTGAAAATAATGTACAATTTGACGCACTATTACTTTCACATGTTTTCAATTTGCCCTCTATCCATACGAATATCTCGATTTCTTTTACCATGCACGCATGTGGCCCTGCGTTAGCGATTTTTCTTCCTCTCTTTTATTCTTCTTTTGCCTCTATCTCGCAGAGGCAATTTGCTTCACACGCGTGTCATCTCCCCCGCTAAGCAATCAGGACAAAAAGTTGCCAAGCATTTGCCGCTAGCGAACGAGACCGAAAGGACGACTTGTTGAGGGTTTTGCCGTCACGTTTCTACAACGATACGCGCGTTGTCACGCAACTTGAACGTATGTTGGAAGGCACAAATCTCTCGCGTTTCTATTTCTCAATTGAGTCACCGATATATATCTAACAATAAGAGTCGATTCAAGAGTCATTACGTGTTATCCATGTTTGCGTCATCATTGTTTTTACGCCGCACTAGACATTGATCAATTTACACAACGACACATTTCCACTACCATTCCCATTCGTTCGAGTGACTTTCTCAATTTTTGTGTGTGAATTATCCAAGTTGGCCAACGACGCGATCAATCGTTCTTAATTATTTTCACGGCTATATCTTGACGATACCCGAATCATGATCCGGTTTTAATCGTGATTGTTATCATCTGATTCTTTCTACTGCCTTGACCATTCTCAAATATTCCAAGGTAAATCGTCACTCATATTTTTTCTTTCCTCTAGAGCTATGTACGATTGTATATTTTGTGAATATCTATACATTTCTCCTATTTTGTATTTTATAAAAGCAAGTGTATGCAAAGAATTTGACCACTCAATTATATTTTTTGAAATAATATTTTTTTGATAAAACTTGGAGATTTCTCACAAAGTTGCAGTCAAATTTCCTACAAATTGTGCCACATTACTATACGAATAACATTCGAGAACACGGCACTAATCTTCATCGTTGATATTTTTCAATTCTATCTATAGTGAATTTCCTTCGAAGAATCGAGAGACACTTTTATTTCTTTTGAATCACTAGAGCGAGTGCAGTTTGCTTTTTCCGTTTCTCTTGACGAACGAAGAAGAGAAATTTTCTCATATCAAAGTAATAAGAAAATTGACAGAGGCAAACTGTTCGACACAGAGGCGAACGAAAGTGAAGAAAGACGAGTGATTGACGAGAGGGGATTGACACTTTCTTCCTTTTCTTTTTTCCTATAAAAAAACACGCGGAAAGAATGTGGAGAGCATTAAAGAGATGAAAAGCTGGATAGAGAGAACGAAGAAGGCGGGAGAAAGAGAAGAGAACGAATAAGAATTGATTTTCATTTAAGGAGAAGGGAGAGATAGATAAGCTCGTTGATAGAGTGACAAGGATGGTAAAGTATAAAGATAGAGAATATAAGCAATGAGAAGAAAAAGGGGACGGCGTAGTTGTAGTGCAGTAAGCGCGACGGAAACGGAGGCAGGCGGAACGCGTGAGCGAGAAGTGCGTATGTGAGGAGCACACAGTAGCTTCTCATAGTGAAGACAGTCGTTGCTCCGACGCAAGGCTACTCGCATCGTGACGAAAGAGGAATCCACACCTTCCTCTGCATGTCTCTTTTTATGCGTCGCGTGTGCCGTTTCTTCCGCATTCGATGAGTGGCGAATCGCACCAGCGCTAAAAAAATGTACATTTTCTTTATTTGTTTTTCGTGTGAAATCGTAGTGTTTTTGTCGTCTTGTGGTCAAACGATCTAATGTATCGATGGTAAAGTTTGCTTGAAAGGGTGAAAAATAGTTAGTGAAAAATAAATCTTGAATTTTTGCTTGTCTTTCGAGTTGATATAAAAATATAAATTTACTTATACGTGGTGAATAATATGGTGCCTTTTATAAAGGCGGATGCATAAGACACGACATGATTAAGTGACTTGAGAAACCCTAAGTTTTTAATTACGCGAGTGTTTCCGTCGAGTGAATCGTTTCCGAGATTTCCACTTACTTTGAGTAGCTCGCAGTCAACGACGGCGGTCGTCAAAGTGCAGTCAAACCAAATTTCCGGCCGATATGTAAGCTTCGTCGAAATTCAAGCGAGCGCTAATGAAAGAAATCGGCCGAGAAAATTAACAATTTCACGGGTGCGGAACATCCGCGGAGTTGAAAGCACGGCGTGAGTCGTGCGATTGGTGCACGTAGTAGTTCCACGAGTTTTCGCTCCGAAAATAATCGTAGTATTTTTACTATCGTTTTATGTTCACTTCGCTTTGCTATCGCAAGCGAGCGCACAAATTGCCATTAATTCGGTATCAAATATTCTTACAACACAGTTGTCAATTCGGAAGAAAACGCAAATTCGATTGTTCGGAAAATGGTTGCTATTCGATTGATCTCAATGGTTTCGTACTGACAATGATGACGATGATGATGGCGTACTCGCATTTTTATTTTTGCGATGAATCATGCCGACGCTTTTCGCTCGAGGCACATATCTGTACAGCATAAGTATAATTAGAGTTTAAAGATGCAGAATCAATTACACCAATTACGTTTACGTTTCGCTCATTATATATACACAAGAACGATTGATTTGTACACGAGATGTCATATGTATCGGAAATCATGAGGAAAATCATCAATTATCTTTGATGTCATTTTTATCTTATGTGCCTTGTGTCATACATACATCATACAGTATTTATTATCATTAATTATAATATTGTGCGATGCATTAATGATTATTTAAACAACGCGGTTGTTTTTGTTTTAAATACCAAACAAGAAATTAAATTAGATCGTTGTAAGAATCTGCCAGTACAAAATAATACGGTAGGAATGGAACACCTTATATATATATATGGCTAACAAGCCAGTGTACTCCCACCGCTTTTAATTACGTTTTCCTGTTGCGATGCTATCTCTTGTGGTTTCATCGTTCATTGGGACGCCCGACTTTTCGTAGTGTCGTTTAGGTCTTGACAATACAACCGATTAGCAGATTCCTGCGAGATCTCAATTCCTGTCTTAAAGTCCAATCGTGCCTTGTTGCTGCCGCGTTTGACATTGCGACTTCTAAGCGGTTAACGGGAATTCGAAGCACGGCCGGATGGTGTGATCGTTGAATTGATTCAACTTGAGCTGAATGAAACGTGATTTACTTCGTGACTATCGCGCTTGCCTTCTTTTTCGACGCTCTACGTCCATCTCTAATATTCAAAGTTATTTTTTACAGTTCCATTAGTTTAGAGAAGAATAATACGTCATAGTCACAATTTAGACGAATTGTTTAGCGTCAATAGAATTAAGTTAACTTAATAACCAAGCGAGTTAATTTATCTAATTCTGGTTAACGGTCGACAGAAAATAAAACGAATGTAGCGGCTTGAACTGAAAAGAAACGAGTCAGATTGATTAATTTTTATTGAAGCGTTAGCAAAAGACAAAGCACCCGCGCGTTTTCAGCTTCTGCAAATATTGAAAATTGTAAAAATTGTCCCACAGAAATTTATCGGAAATGCTCTTTTATCTATGTCTTTTCTACGTCGCATCAATTTTTGCTCGCGAGGCTAATGACGTGACGGCGGGCCAAAAGTAGTCATTGAGCAAATTGATCGAGTGAGGTAATTGCGCTGTTGGGCATGTTCGGTTCAAGTTGCTGCTACTGCAGGTGAATGAATCCCGACTCTCTCACGGTTTACGTTCGCCTCTTTAGTCTGTCCATCGACCCTAACTAGCTATTTATATACACGAGGCGCTCTTGCTTCTGTAGTCGTGCCATCGACGATATCTAAGCCTGTGTGCACGCACATGATTGTAAACATCTATGTGTGCATTCGTATGCCAAATCATTTTCGTGTGCGTCCCTTTTCGTCTGCGTGTATGCACTCAATTATAAGCATTCCAGATCAATGTGTCTCCCTTGTACGAAAGAACATGGATACGTGAATTATCATTTATTTTATTCATTCGTGATTATTTTTATTATTTTATTGTTTTCGGGAGACTATGAACTGCAAACATCAATGTCAGGCAACGACGACGTATTTGCATTTAAAGGCTACACATACGAATGTTAATGTTATGTTGTGTACGCGTGTAAATTACGCGACACTTTGCAACATCGCGCTCTGATATTCCGTTGCACGATTGCACTGCAACTGTTCATCTGCGCCTTTCTTTATTAATTCCAATCTTTTGTTCAAATTATTTTAGTTTTTCAAAGTAGCTTCCATATCACAAGTAGGTCCATATACCTACTTGTAAACATATTTTTTGTTAAATTTATTACTGCAAAATTTATATCATGGTCATTTACATTTAATTTGGTATACGATCCTCATCTTTTTGTTAAACTATTAACAAAACGTACCACCACTGACGTAGATGTTTATTTTGAACAATTGCGTCTTGTGCAACTAACTGTATATATCCCAACTTTATGCATTCCAACACATATTATACGCTGTATAATATATATATATATATTGGAGAATGTGTGATATTATCAACATTATATATATGAGAGAGGCGCATTGCTGCTTATAGCGCAATGTTAAAATCTGGCACGTTTGTAATAACAAGTACTGTTGAATTCATCGTATAGAAATCGCGCGTAAAGCGCGATTAAATTAACTTTACTGTATGATAGCAATTTGTACGATTTATTGTACGATAGCAATAATTCTCCGAATTTTTCTATTCGCAATTGCGTAAGCTTCAATCGATCATATCGGTGAAAGAGACATTCGTATAAACGAATGTTCCAATCGCACTTGCGTACACTACGATGTGTAACATAGGTAATTTGTAGGACTGGTCACGCCTCTTGACGTTTTACTGTTCCCTTTCCCTTGTTCTATATCTGTAGCAAAAAGGAGTAACTGTTGGCAAGGAGTCCGAGGGCTCGAGAACATAGATTCAGCAGCTGCCGCGATAAACGCGAAATTTTGCGTACGTTAATGGTTCATTGCTAAAAGCGTAATCATTGATTCCTTTTCTTTTTATCTCTGTCCTTTCTGTGTTTCTTCGCTCAAGAGAGAAGTTGAGCTCTCTCGATTTTTTTCAACATCTTCTCCTTTGCTTGTAATTGCATGCTATTATGCCATTTGCTTGCGGTGCATCGGGAGCTTATCGAAATGATATTAGACAGATATAAATCGACATAAGATCTTGGGTTGTTAAAGAGATGACATATCTCTGAAAATTGTTATTTATTTAATAATGTTTGTTTCAATGTTAGCAATCATATTTTTAGATTTTAGGGAAGAATACGATTTTGGTACAAATCAATTACGATAAATCTCCTAATTAGAAGATTTATGCGTGTTTGCGCGTATTATCGCGGCGCGTCGAACAGACGGAAATTTAAACTATGTTTAAATTTCATGCTTGTCTGTCCTCCCTTTCTCCATGCTAAATTCGTCTACTGCAAAAGGAGCAAGCGTGCGATGTACCGCGTAAGAGAAATATGGGCTTGACGCTTGCGGAATAAGCACGGCTGATACTAAATTACTCGTTGCCGACTCCGATGCAGTGCGCGGGAAAAGACTTAATTATTTATTCCACTTCTCCAAATTTGCTCTCACAATTGAACGGCTAGCCATTCTAACTTTGATGCAAGTTACTTTCGTGAAAAATGGCATCTACGCAGCCACGCTCATGGGGCGAGGCGGTTGATTCTTCTACGGACTGCATTCATCTTTTTTCATCATTTTCGTTTAGATTCATGCAATTCGTTGAACACTTCA